AGGGTCAGACCTGCGGCCCTGATGGGGACAGTGGACAGAGCACCTGGACCGCCCTTCCCTGGCCCCCAGTGTGTAGTGTCAATGGCACTGCTGCGGCGAGTGGGATCTCCTGCAGACTCTTGGGTAAAGCCAACCAGACAGGAAACGTGTGCACTGCTAGAAGTATTCCCACTTAGCGTGAGAGGAGAGCCAGAGGCACAGTGGTTACATGTTGGGCTGCGATCCGAAAGGTCAGCAGTTCAAACCCAACGGCCACTTTCTACTCCTGTCAAAAGCTAGTCTTGGAAACCCACAGGGGCAGCTCTACGCAGACCCAAAGGGTCACTATGCGTCAGGACGGCTGGATGGCAGTCTTGGCTTGTTTGTGGAGTGCGTGGGTGCAGCAGTCCGTGATAAAACCACTGGACCAAATTAGGGCAGAAATGGCAACGTGAGCTCAGGAGCTCAGGAAGATGTTTCAAAGGGATGGCTCCGCTCGGAGCGGCCCGGAGGCTGAGGGTCTCTCCTGGGTGAGTGTCCAGGAGCCCAGACCTCCAACCAAAGGCACTGGGGCACCTCTGGAAGAAGGTCCCTGTGGGCCCAGGGAAGCCCTATGGACACTCTGAGAGAGGGATGGGAGATCTCAGGCGGATTCTTGAAAGGGCTCTGTCCCCCATCAGGCCACTTGAACCCCAAAGCAGAACTGTTATCAATGTAAACGGATCTATGAAAACTCGCGAGTCCATGATTACACTCGAAAGAGCCTCAAAATCTCAGTTACAGTTGAGCGCAGGGTCGAACCACTTCCTTCCTGTTCTCGCAGAGAAGACAAGACATGAGCGCCTGCCCTCCCGTCTCAGGGGTCTGGGGCTGTGGGCCAGTGAATCCTCAGTGCGTGACCCCAACGTCCGCTGGATGGAGGGCCATGTCATCCCAACAGTCCAGCACCCAGTCACACCTTATGAAATGGTGAACCGCCTAAGTGCAGTCCATCTGTACTGGACTCTCCCAAGAGCAGAGGGCTGGCAGAGGAAGGCCCTCCGTGCACGAGAGGGTTTGACACAGTGGCTGCAACCCTGGCTTTAGACACGGCGACGATGTGCAGATGTTGCACGACCAGGCAGTGCTTCCTCTTGTTGTTCTCAGGGTCACTGTGAGTCAGAAACAAGTCTACGGCCCGGACAGCGGCCATAATATTGTCACACCTGACTCAAGTGAATTCTGTGAGCCCTGCAGCTCAGAGCCCGCACGAGGAACTGGGGCTCGGGCTGATGGAGACTGGAGACCCATACACGCTGGCTCAGGCCTGCTCCCAAGGAATGAGTATGCAGGAAAGACGGGAGCGAGGAGTCTGACCCAGGACCAGCCTTCACAATGGAAACCACAGTGGGCTTCCATGTGGTCATGGCAGTCTTCCAGAGGCAAGACAATGGGATGGAAAGTGGACACACCTGTGCACAGGCCCACCTGGGTCAGTTCCAAGCAAAGAGGGATCTCACCTGGGACTGCTATGTGTGCCCCACTGTGCCCCCAAAGATGGCTCCGGGAAGGACCTGCTTCCGGCGATGTGGCCCACGTGTTCCTGGGTGATGCTGACCGGATCCAGGGATTCCTGACCCTTCTGATAACCAGGGGGTGCTAGGACCTGAGACCTTGTAATTCTGTATGCCTACTCTCTCTCATCCACAATGTCTGTCGATGCTCCAGTGATCCAGGGTCCCTACAGAGGAAGCAGGAGAGGGTTGTAACCACCACTTGGCTGTCAAGTCAGCAAGTCCGGTTCTGCTGAAGATAAGTCAACAATGGTCGCAACGGTCCATCGACGCGGAGCTGCTAGAAGGTCGAGCCTGATTCAGAACAGGCCATGAACTTAGGTGTCTTTGCTGATATCAGAGCTTGGTTGAAAGCAGGAAGAATGTTTACTTGTGTTTGATTGACTCTGCCGTGGCATTCAACTGTGTGGCTCATAACAGACTGTGGACAGCCTTGAGAAGAATGGAGACCCCAGAACACGTCGTTGTGCTCCTGTGGAACTGCCCCGTGGATCAAGAGGCAGTTGTGAGACCAGGACAGGGGAACACTGCACGGTTTAAAATCAGGAAAGGTGTGTGTCAGTTATATCCTCTCACCATACTTGTTCAATCTGTATGCCAAACAAATAGTCCGAGAAGCTGGCTTATATGGAAAAGAATCTGGTATCAGGACTGGAGTTAGGCTTAACTTGGGATATGCAGATGACACACCCTTGCTTGCTGAAGTGAGGATTTGAAGCGCTTGCTGAAGATGAAGGACCGCAGCCTTCAATATGGATGACATGTCAGTGTCAAGAAAAAAATCCGTACAACTGAACCAACAGACAACATGATGATAAACTAAGATTAAAGTTATCAAGGGTTCTGCCTTGGTTGGATCCATAACCACGGCTCATGGAAGCAGCAGTCGAGAGATCAAAGAACACACCGCACTGGGCAAACCTGCTGCACAAGACTCTTCTGAGGTGTTGAAGGGCAAGGACTGAAGTGTGCCTGACCCAAGCCATGGTACTTTCAATGGCCTCACACGCCTGGGGAACGGGGTATTGAATAGACCCAAGAAGAATCGATGTGTTTGAATTAAGGTGCTGGTGACGATCACTGAAGGTGCCTTGGAATCTGTCTTGGAAGAAACACAGCCAGAGCGCTCTTTAGAGGGAAGGCCAGGCTTTGTCTGACATGCTTCAGACATGTTGTCAGGAGACCAGCCCTGGACATCGACCTCGTGCTTGGTAAAGTAGGACAGAGATAAAGAGGAGGAGCCTGGGCAAGACACACAGACGCGGTGGCAGCTCCAGTGGGTTCACACCTTGCAACGGTGTAGATGGCACAGGGCCAGGCAGTGTGTCTTCTATTGCACGGGCCACTCGGAGTTGGCATGGGCTTGCTGGCACTTAACAGCATACGTTTCCTAAGAGAAGTCTAGGTGGTGGTGTGGGCTACTCAATGAGCTGCTGGTTACAAGGCCAGCGGTTTGAATCTCCTACTCAGTCCATGGGCGAAAGACGAGATGTTGTGCTCCTGTAAAGATTTCCAGCTGGGCATTTCTACTCTGTCCTATAGGATCACTGTGAGTCAGATCAACTTGATGACAGCAGGGTTTTCTTTAAAAAAAAATCCATGTATATATTGGACTCTGGACACTGTGTGGATACGGTGACTGTGGACGATGGCAGAGTGGCTCGTTGCTGTGTGGACATGATTGCTGATTAGACAATGATGGTTTTTGTGTGGACGATGGCTTGTGGGTTTGGGTCAGAGGCTGGGGTGCCAGGTGGCAATGCCCCTCACTGGCACTGCTAACCCCTCAGCTGACTGCCATGCTGAGAACACACAGTGTAGCTCTGCGTGTGTAGAAACTGTCAAACACTTCACATTTCAAAAGGAACCACAGATAGCATATTCTCTGGAAATTATAATACTCAAATAACACACTCAAGACACTAGGTTTTATTCAAATACACGCAACAGCATCCAGACATCTCTCTCTCCCCATCTCTGTAGGGAGAGGGAGAGAGGCCATGAATGGAAATGGACCCCACAGCAGTGGGTTTGTTTGTTTCATGTGAACAATCTACACAGCTGTCACCCAGGGTCACAATGGCCACTTACGGTGATCACAGTAACTACACACTGTCCACAGGGTGACGGCCACAGAACCCGTAACCGTATCCAGTGAACTTCCACATAGAATCTGCGATCATGCCTGACAGCCATCGTGTCTGCATGGCAACAGCCCACAGCCTCGTGCAGTCAGTCTCAACGTTCACATATGCAACCAAAGGATGGGGGAGGGCACCGAGCACTTTCTTTAAAGCCCAGTCACAAGCGCCCCTCCCCTTGGAGCACTGACGTCAGAGGTGACGCTGATCACACACAGGTCCCAGCCCGAGAGGGTTGGCGCTAAGTCTGAGGGGGACAGGGCAGGGCAGGCACTGGGGCCTTCAGAACCAACCGTGTCCTGAAAGAGAGTGGACTTCCCCGGGGACTGTGAGGCGCCCTCCTACTCCGGAAGGCGCCTCGGGCAGGTCTGAAAGTTCTTCCTGCAGGGTGAAGGATAAGATGGCACAACCTAGGCCACCACGCCCCGCGGCTTCGATGCTGAAGAACAAGTCCCAGGAGACATAGGCTTGCATCTGGGAGTATCTGTCCCCGTGCCAGCAGACAGGGCCGCAGGCCCCCAGACGCCCACACAGCCAATGCCTGTCTGTGGACACATGGCCCGAGTCTCTGAACCTATCTACACGAGTCCGTCGGAACAGGACTTCCTCTGAACACGCGTCACCTAGGCCCACGTGGGCGCAGAGCCAGGGGAGCGGCATCCTACGAGGGGACAGCGAGCAGTGTGGTCACAAACCCAGCAGCGCTGGGCACCAGGCGCTGCAAAGGCAGGGAGGTCCCCCCAGAGAGCTGGGACCTGGTGGGCTGACCTGCTTTGGACCCTGAGCCTCGAGCTGAGACAGGGCCTGCAGGCTTTCCCAAGCCCCTGGTGGCGGGCTTTGCAGGTGGCGGCCTCGGGACACTAGGGCACACAGCTTCTTGTCCCCTCAGGTCCACCCACTGGACGACACTGTTCTGCTCCCGCCACAGGGCTGTGGGCCCAGAATGCGCTAAAACAAGGGGTACACAGAGGACCCTGCTCGGGGGGGCCCCAAGGATTCGAGGTGGGGCCGGTCTGGGCGTGGTGACAGACACCCACTTTCTCTTGACCTGCTGTTGCTGGGAGCAGCAGGGAGGAGGATGTGGGCATCGTGCCGGCCCGCTCTTGGTGGCACTGCCTGAGGGGTCAGCGCGTCCCGGGGGACCCTGGTCTTGTGACCCGAGAGCCATCACAGACGTCCAGCACCAGGGGGCTGCTTCCAGGTTGTCTGTATGGCCCCCACCCTAGGCCACGGCCAGAGAGGCCCACGTGTCACGGAAGCATCTTTAGGGGCGAGGCCGTCAGCGTGCTGACCAATGTAGACGGATACGGAATCACATGGACGTAAGAAGTGCTTAAAGCATTTATTGTCCTCCAGGTGCAGCGTCCAGCACACACCCACCGCCGCTGCGGGACACAGGGTTGGTCAGAGCACAGGGACGGGTGTGGTGGTGCTGGGGAGGGGCGCTAACGGCTGTCTCACTATCGCTGAGGAAAACCAGCCGTTTCCGGCTCGGTAGGGACACTGCCCCCACGTGGGTTTTTCACTGAGTGAACTCTAAGAGCGGAAGCTCACACGTCACCCGGTTCCCCCACCGTGGGGGTGGCTTCGAGACTTGCATGAGCTGCTCTGAGAGGAGAAGGGAAGTTTCCATCCAAGGCCGAGGCAGCAGGGAGTGGGGTGAGGGGCACACAGCTCGGGACAGCACCCGGGTGGCACAGAAGCACCCAGAGAGCATCCCTCGGTGGGGCGGGTGTCGGTGTGCTGTGTCCGTGGCGGCGGGGATGGGGCTAAGTCGAGGTCTTCTTGCTTAACCTAGAAGGAACAGTGAGGTCAGGAGGGCGTGCCCGCAGCAGGTCCAACCGTGGGGCGGCAGCGTCCAGTGGGTGACCGTGCATTTCTCAAGGGGCTGCCCCAGCGCCCAGCGCCTGCAGCTCCACCTCGGGGTTCTGTGCTGCATCAAGCCTGTCCACCGCTCACCCCCCTCCCCCTGGCATCTGCTCACTCGTATCTGATGAGCCGGCTGCCCTGGATGAGCTGGGCCACCTCGTTGGTGGCATGGCAGACGAACAGGAGCCAGTTCCGAGGCTGCACCTTGTAGGCGAACCTCATGAAGGTCAGCGAGTAACAGCACAGCGCTGCAGGACAGAGCAGGCAGTGAGGCCATGGGGAGCCCACCCAGAGCCTGCTCTGCAGAGCCTCCAAGACAGGGCCCTAGGCAACAGGTCAAGCTTGGACGGGCACATGAACAAGAGGCCAGGCACCCCCTAGTGCTACAGTGGCCGGGCACCCCTGCCAGTCTGAACCCCACCAGCAGTGTGACTAGCAGCTTTACACTGGAGTGAGCCCACCCATGGCCCTTCCTGGGCTTCCTGGAGCCCCTGGCTATATGTATGTATGTATGTATTGCAAGTTGACTATTTATTTAAAAATAAATTTCAAAAACCTCTATTTACACTACAGTAAGACTGGGATGTGCAAACAACAGGAGGAGGCAAGCTTGTCCTGCGGTGGGACGTCCACCTGATGATGTGGGGCACCTACCAGCCGAGCAGGCCACAGCAGGACCTTCGGTTAACACTGAGCTCCGTGTGGCCTCTCAAGCTCGGGGCGGGGAGGCCAGGTCAGGGCGCTGGGCTGGGGCCTGGGCAGAGAAAGAGCTCACTTCACAAGCCAGCAGGCCTCTAGCTAGCTTGACTCCCCAGGCGGTCACTTGGAAGTGACCTGAAGGCTCTTCCCAGTCCAAGGTGGCTTCACGGAAAGAGGGGGAGGGGGAGAGAGGCCCAAAGATCGAAATCCTCTTCTTAAACAAAAAGCAACAACCACACAGAAACTGAATAAGGAGTGATTAGCCAAAAAAAAAATGGAGGGAGCTGGCTGGAGGGAACCTGGTCTAGGCCTTGCCAGGCTGTGCCCAGATTCCTCTAATACCCACAGGTACCCATTCCACAAAGGGCTTAAGGTCTAGTGTTGGTGAGACTCCAGAGTCAACAGAGGGACACTTTCCGTGAGAAAGCTCAGGCACCACCTTCAAGTAGGAAGGGGCCTCTTTCCTCTCGTAGGTACTCGGGTCAGTCCCCACAGGGGCCCACGAACACTGACTCCTGCAGTGCAGCACCTGCTGAGGGGACCAGCCATGCTCACCCGGAAGCACATCCGCCCACTGCAGCCGCACCGCACCTGGATGGGAGTGACTGCGGGGGCGGGGTGGGGGACGGACACACGGACGGACGGGGGACGACACACCCCTTGGCTGCCCCAGGACCAGGCCTGTGACCAGTCTGAGCAGCTAACAGCCATACCGAATGTCATTCGCCCGCTGATGATCTCTGGAGATTTTTTCATGTCGTTGATGGCGGCAATGGGAAGGCCCCAGTTGGCCACAGGTCCCCAGAAGTGCTGTAGAGAGAGTAGCCCAGGACACACAGCAGGGAGGGAGAGCATTAGGTGGCTGTGGGATGGCTGAGCCTCAGACACCTGCTGGACAGCTGGGGGGAAGTTAGAAGGCACGGGGCCTCAGGCACTGCACTGCCAGGTACTGACTACGAATCTGCGGACATGGACGCTTTTCCCAGGTCCCTGCGACTTATCAGAACGCCTGGGAGTCAGCTCTGGAGTCCCTACATCCGATATCTGGGTTCAAACCCCACAACGGTGTCTCATCCAACCCATGGGCTATTGGATCAGAACTGAGACAATGGCAGTGGGGCCACCTGTCCAGATGAGATGAGATTAACTTCTCAAAGGAGCCAGAGCCCTGTAACATCAACCTCCATAGAACTAATCTCCACAGGCTTGTTTACTTCAGCCCAGCCTGGCCTCTTCTCCAAAGCATCAGGGAGATTTATCAACATCTCCTAAAATGCAGGGCAGACACGGAATGTTTCTGAAGAGGGCGTCAAGCAAGGAAAAAATGCGTTTTCAGTTCACATGAACGATACTGAGGAGCCTCAGTGGTGTAGCGGTCTACAGATACACTGAGCTGCTAGCCAGATGGTCAGCAGGTCAAACCCACAGCCACTCCATGGGGCATGATGAGGCTGTCTGCTCCTGTGAAGAGCTGAAGCCTTGGAAACTCACAGGGGCAGTTCTACTGATCTACAGGGTCAGACTCACCGTGGCGGCACAGAGAAGGGTTCTGCTAGGAGCTATTCTGACCAGAGAGCCTGCAACTCTATTCCTGGGGCCCAGATACTAAGAAACGAGGGTTGGAAACGACCTTTGAAGTTACAGCAAGAACATGAGAAGTTCGACAGGGTTTCACTCCACACCACGGCCATGGCCGCCTGGGGAGCTGGCCAGGCCACAGAGCCGGGTGTCAGGTGGTGATGGGTGTCGGGGAGGTGGTGGGAAGGTCCGGGCCATGGACTGGGCACCCTCCCTTCTTACTTGGCTTTAGGGCAAGAGAAGTGTGCAGAGAGGACAGAGTGGGCAGAGAGGGTACCACTCACTCGCGTCTTACCGTGCTGCTCACGACAGGTTACCGGCGGCCACACAGGGGACATGGAAGGAAAAAGAGTAGATCAGATGCTGCCGGCGGCTCCTGGATGCCAGGCCATGCCCCGCCCCTAGCCCCTGCTCCCCACCCCTACCCCTGTTCCCACCCGGCTGGTCAGGGGCCTCCTGAGATTCCAGCATGACTGAGTGACACCTGACCGCACGGACTGAAAGTACGACTTTGTTTAGAGTAAGACAAACCTTAGAACGCCACAGGAACTGCGGGAGCAAGGTGAGGGGGAGGCACTGAACCGCCCTGGGAACTAATTTCTCCAGAACAAACGGCGGGCAGTTCACCCCAGCACCCTGGACACAACCTTGCAGGGTCCCCAGATGTGGCCACCCTGCTGGGCCACCCACGGGGGGCAGAGGCAGGGCCATGAGACAATGCCGGCCACACGGGATCACATACGGAACCCCCACATGCACAAGTGCCAAGGTGAGAACCAAACAGCAGAAATTCACCCAGGTACCAACTCAGTTTACCACAGGGTCCTGGCCCTGGAGTGACTGGGCTCCGTCCGTCCATCCATAGCCACACTGAGAGGAGCGCTGGCAGGTATGCTGGGTCCCACCAGCAGCAGGCCGGGGCGAAGCTCGCCCGCCCGCGCTCGGTACAGTGTTATACACACGCTAAGTACAGATGACACGCAGGTCAGCGGTCACTCTGAACACTAGATGCCACTTTAGTGCTGGAGGCCTATGTGGCCCAGGTGTCCTTCGAGGACACTGGGCAGGGCAGGCAGCCTCAAGACGGACCTTCCAAAGCCTGGGGGCCTGGGGGTGGGGCTGGCCCCACGTGCTCAGGGCAGCTGCGTGCCTGCTCCTCCTCCTCGCTCCTGCTCCCAGCAGTCTGCACCCCACACCCAGCCCTTCTTGGTGCTCAGCTGCCTGTGGCCTGGCCTCTGCAGGGCAGGGCCTGAGGAGCAGTGGGCTCTCCATGTTCTGCAGATGGACACACTGCCCCACACAGCAAGCGCAGGGTCTGGATGGACAGAAAGACCCTGCAGAGGGCCCGCCAAGAGGAAAGATGAATGGACGGAGGGACGGAGAAAGTCTACAGAGTGCCCGCCCAGAGGAAAGACGGACAGATGGAAGGGCATTTGGCCAGAGCCTGCAGAGGGCCCGCCGGGAGAACGGATGAACAGGCAAGCCTGGTTGAGCCCACAGAGCCACAGTTCTCAGACCAGTGAGCTGTTTGAGAGTCAGCTAAATCTGGGGCAGCAGTAACCAGGCCCCATGAGCGTGACAGTGAACGCTCTTACTTCTGGAACGGCACCTTCTGTTGCCAGGTACAGTTTAAGCCAGGGGTGCTCACACTGTCAGCATGCGAGCTACTTATCAAATGATGAAGTCCAAATCATCTACCAACTACAAAAAGGCAAAACACATTTATTTCATTTATTAAATTTATTCATAAATGCATTGGGAATTATTTATATGTACAATGTATGTTTATGTATTTTGCATAACCGCATGAGTCCATATTGCACAACACTACACAATTAACTATGTACATTTCTTGTCATGACCTGAGTTTACTCTGACGACTTGCACTGAATGGAATGAGCCAGGGATGCATAGTCCGGAGAGCAGCTGCTGACAGCCAGCCTCAAGCAAATTCCCAAATGATCATCAGGCACGGTGGAACGGTACTTGGACTTAATGGTCTTTATGTGGGAAAAGGCTGACTCACATAAATAAGTAGAGCGAATCATGCAGCCAAGGAGCACATTTTCCCACGTTTGGGTACTTTCCCTCTGCGAGTAAGTTGCAGAACTGTTCATGCGCTCTGGACTGCAGCTGAATGTTGGCTTGTAGTGTCAAAATCTCCCATTCCGTATGAGGGTGAAACGTTTTTGTCTTCTCAGCTGGTCCAGCTCCCCCACTCATTTTAATTCCCTTTCTTACTTTTAAAAGAAAAAAACCAAGGTCTAAAAATCGGCGATAACTTAGCTTGTCGGTTTTGCTGCACTTCGTGCAGTTGTTTTCCCATGCGTTTGACATCTAAGACTGCATCTGATTGGCTGCTTTGTATATCAATTAAGTGATAGGGCTGATGATAGGCTTACGGCTGGTTTTTAAGGCCATGTGATCTACCCACACTACATTTGTGATTGACTAGTACATTGCAATCGACGTACTGAGCACCCCTGGTTTAAGCAGCTTGTTTGGTTAAGACAAAATTATAAAGTTGACCTAATGAGAGTGTTACTGATTCCCCTCCAAGACCTGCACGGCCTCTCCCAGCACCTGGATGAGGAGGTCCAGCGCTCGTCCCTTGCGTCATAGGTGGTGTGTAGTGTACAGCGCTAACAGCACATTGTGACACATTCCTGAAGCCAGAGAGACGAGGGAGGACGTGGGGAGGCCAGGCAGAGGGCTGGGCAGACCAGCCAGTGCAGGCTGCCATGTGCAGCATGGACAGACCCCAATAAAGCCCCTCCACCAACTCGGGGCCAGATATGACCATCTCTGCATGCCCACAGCAGGGATCCCCCCTTCCACAGGAGGGACTGTACCGCCCCACGTGTGCTCAGAGAAACAACGTTGACCCCTCACTGTGATGCCTTCCATGAGCGCACCAGTGTAGCATCTCAGCTCCCTGAGAACACAGCAGCCCGGTGCTGCCCTGGCACCTGCAGTCTGAGAGCTGGCTTCCCACAGATACCAGTGGGCGGGCAGCCAGGTTTAGGTTGACTGGTTTTTGATCTGTGTGAGTGTATGTGTATGCCTGTGTGCATGTGTGTCTGGGGTGGGGCGCCCTCTCATGTGCTCTTGCGGAGAGGGAGAGCTGAAGAAACGGGGGCAGTGATGGGCGACCAGGGTTCCTGCCCGGCAGTCGACAAGCTACAGCTGCTGACCCAAAGGCTGCAGGTTTCATGTCCACGCAGAGATGCCTTGGACGAAAGGCGCGGTGACTGATCCCCTAGTAGCTAGCTGCCTAGAAGCGATGGGCCGGGGGCACCACCATCGGAGTCCGGCCTGCAGCACTGGGTTTGGGGAACATGGGATACCAGTAGTTTACGCAGCAAATCCTTACTCCTGAAATAGCGGCCACAGGTAGTCCCCTGGAGCCCCTTCCAGCCAAACAGCAGAATCAGGCAGTGAGCCATGGGAGGCTGGTCAGCCAGAGCATCCCTGATGGCCGCAGGCAGAGGGGGCAGGAAAGAAGGCACCCGGGGACGGGGACCAGGCAGGAAGTGGGACCGCAGCCACGGTCCCAAAGGTTCTGTTCACAGAGCAAGTGGGACTCGTCAGGCCACAGCCCTCTGTGGTGGCCACCCCAGAGGGTGGTCTTGGTGCTGGGCGTTGTCCCTGCCCTGTGACAGGGTTCCTTGGTGGCCATCTTCATCAAGAAGTCCTGACCAGGCCTGTGGGTCATTGCCTCGCGCCGATCAGTGCAGAGCGGTGACAGGTGAAAGCAGAGGACTGCTGTTCCCTGCGGAGGCTTCGACCTCTGCCTGCTCACAAACGGGGCAGCCGGATCCGCAGGGGGAGGCTTCCCCACACAAGCCAGGTATGAGGGGTCCCCCTGGGGCTGCCTGCCGAGGTGACCATGGACATACTCCCTCCCTTCCCTGCTCCTGTTGAGGGGTCCAACACAGCGACCCCTCGTATGAGAGAATGAAGCACTGCCCACCTTGCCCGTGCCCAGTGGTCCCGTTTGAGCCTATCTCTCACTTAGAGCGGATTCCGCCCGTCAACTCCCAGGGCAGGGCCTCCACACAGTAAAGGTATCTACAGTCACCCTTAGAGAGCCAAGGGCCAGGCTGGGTCCCTGTGCCCTCCTGCGAGGAGCCCACCCCCAGAACCACCAGACTCTGAGACCCTGGCCCTGGCCGGCTCCTTTCCCTGAGGGAACAGGTCCCTCCACTGGCAGGTGCTGCTCGACCAGCTGC